TCATTTGCTCAACCTCATGTTGTTTCAAACCTGTATGAGTTTCTGTTTTCTGCAGAACAGTATTTTTTTTCCCACACTATGGAAGTCAATGGCTACCGTCAACTGTTTGGTTGCCAACATTCTTCAGAATGTCTTTTATTTTCAACAGATGAACGAAGTTTGGAATAACTTGAGGGCGAGTAAATTATGACAGTTTTTTCTATCTGTTTTTGGGTGAACTGTCCCTTTAACATAGTTGATCATTTTCCAGTTGTGTGTACACTGTTGTTGCTGATTTTATTTAATTTGTTCATGTTTAGTAAGCTGTTGTCTTGTGATGTCAGGTTGGGGTTGTTCCTCTGTCAGAATGGCAGGTTAGATTAACTGTCATGCTTCTTGTACCAAGTGTTGAGGACTGAGTGTGGCTTTTAAAGACATTTTAAGAGTGTTTTATTTCATGTGAGTGTTAATGTGATTAATGTATAATCCATATAAATTCAGTTCAATTCACTTTATTGTCACATACTGGAAACAAGCGTACAAGGAGTGAAAATGCATAGATCAGTCATTGCAACACAATAGAAATTAAATAATCTCAACATACACACTGATACATTACAGTAAAAAAAAATAAAAAATCAGTTTAAGAAAACAGGCACATGCTCAAAACCACGTAACTGAAGAAAACTTTCTGAAAAAGTTCATCATACTAGCACCATTGTTTACTCAAGACATTTATTTATTTAGCAAATTAATTCAACTTTAAAAGCATATGCAAACATTTGCCTTTGAGGCTTTACAACACCTCATTTTTGTCAGTTTCAGACATCTGAAAGGTCACCACACAGGCAAAATACGCAAATAAGCAAAATTACCCGCAGCGTGCTCACATTTGACTGGTGGCAGTTGTTAATTTCACACCCTGCTGTAGAAAGATGCCATGTTTTCAGATCAGCACTTTTTCTCATGCTGTGTTTTGCTTTTTTTGTTAATTTTATGTCTTTTCTTTTCGATTTTCAGATCTTGTAGGGCAGCAGATTAGTATTTCCTCACAGATATAGGCTGCTGAAAGCATTCAGACATGCACACATGGGACTGTTGTCTCAGAGTACTGGATGCCATTCAGATAACTGTGCTCAAAATAAAGATATTGATCTGTAGGGCAGCTTTTTGGGTAGTATGTGACAGGATGTGACAGATGTTTGGTAGTGGCAGCTATAAGCCATTTCCTGTGAGTTATTTGCAGAAACGAGTCCTGTTTTTTTATTTGACACTGTGCCTGGAGTGTTGTTAACTTCATGCCAGAAATCACAGTTTACAGCAGTGATAGAATAGAAGTGACTGAGAAATAATAAAAACAATATGTATATAGACGTATTTTTAAATTGTACAAACTAGTTGACTAAAATTATTAAACAATTAAATTAAACAAAGATTATTGGAGTACGTTTTACAAGAAAATTCTATTTTAGTCTTTCTACTTAAAAATCGCAGGTTTAATACTTGCTGATTCTTTGTGAAATTTACTAACAATTTCTAAATGAAAATTGTTTCTACACCGATTTTATTTTTGAAGTAAGAAAATAAAGATTAATGGAGTAAGTTTTACAAGAAAATACTAAATCAGTCTTTATACTTAAAAAAATTCACATTTAATTAGTCATTTCTTTGTAATTATTTGTGAAATTCACTAGCAATTTCTGAGTGCAAATATTAAAAAAATTGTTTTTGAGTGTGCTTCTGTTTTGCAAAAAAAAATTACATGTTTTTCATTAAAAATTCTGTTGTCAACTTAACAATAGATGAGTACAATTTTATTTGCTAAAATGTCCACGAATTCCTTTGGTTTCTATTTTATAGCTTATTTTTGTTTATGTTTATTTATGGTTTAAATACAACAAAGAAAAATGCATTGTAATCGCAGAGTTTTAAACCCAACAGTACTTTTTTTGATGTAATGTTTTTAGACTTAAAAACAATCAGCAGTCACACTAATTTATTTAAAGTAATCTTTATTCTGAAGTATTCTTTAAACAGATTAATTACAAGAGTACTTTCAGTTATTTGGTTTTATATGAACAAAAAGTAGGCTATGAATTAACTCAGTTCTGTTGATTTGTTGACCGTAAATGACCTTTTAGACAAAGTGTGTCAGGTCTCGTTGCATGTCTACCTCTCGTATGTTCTCCGCAGACAGCATGCAACCTCACGCAAATCAGCCGCAAGTTGTATATTTAAATATTGATGTCTAGGTTTGGAGATCCCCTAATGGCACGTATTTGAGCGGATGCAGAAAAACAGCATTAACACAAAAAATACAATGTTTTGCTGCTGAGTGGGCGATGAAAATTCTAAAATATTCCTGCGTCTTCTTGAATTTATAGTTTCTTGCATTACATCAAGTATGAACTGAGCTGTCCTTTATACTACTTAAAGCATAAAAGCTGTAATTGGTCAGCAGAAACAGCAGTGATCGTGCAATTCAGCATGCCAAAAAATTACTTAATCCTGCTGTTTGCGGTGGTGACATCCTGGAGTTTCAGCTGTTGTGTTTTATTACGTAATATTACCTGAATTTGAGACATAGTTTAACAGAAGTGATTATGGCAAAGCTCTTTCGCAAACATATTGCATTTCTTCATTAGAAATCTGTCTATAGGAAGACCTAAAAATGAACATAGCCAACAAATGTATAAGAATATACATTCCACATTCATAATCTTTCGTCTTCTGCAACATTTTGCTCATGAATGCACTTCATGTGCATTTCATTATGAGGGTTAGACATCTTTAGCTGTTCACATGTATAAAAACATGCAGTGTGCATTATTTGAAAGTTTTTTGTGTTGCATAATTCACTTTGTGAAGTTTATTTACTCATCTTGATGATAATGTTGTATTACCCTGATCTTTGTAAATATTCATGTCACTATAATATTGAAGACAGAAAGCTTTATTTATATCAGAATACTGTGTATACACCAGATTATACATCACATAATTGTGAACAGGGTTGAACATAAGAGCAACTGTAAAAAAACAAAAAAAACAATTATACATTGTCACTTTTTTTACGCATTGCAGTAAAGAGAATTGCAAGAGACTAAACTGGCGCTGGTCGAGGAAATTTTGCAAGCGCACTGTATAAAGAAAGAAACTATGAAAGGTGTCAGTCTGGAAGGAAATTATTATCAAAGAAAGCGGCAAAACTCTACACTTCCAGTCACACGTGCAAACCACAAAAACCCACTTAGAATGAAATTGTGGTAAAATAGCATTTTAGTGAAATAAATGATTTACGACTCAAAGAGTGGCCATAAAGAGATTTTTATTTTGTTTTCAACAACATTCTTAAATATAAAGGTTCTTTTTTGTAATTATTGGTTCCTTTAAGAACCTTGAACATCAAGAACATTTTTATTCCACAAAAGGTTCTTTATAGCGGAAAACAATTCTTTAGATTATTTAAATGCTCTTTACACCAAGAGAAATTAAGATTCACTGGAAGGTTCTTTGAGAAAACAAAAATTATTCTTCTTTGGCATCACTCCAAAAACCTCTTTTGAAACCTTTATTTTAAAGAGTGAAATGAAGACGTATTTTACAGTCAAATGATTGTCTTATGATTTACTGAAAGTAAAATAGTAACAGTAAATAATAAACGTTTATTTGTTGTCATTTCTCTTAACACAGTAGGAGCGGAAATGAAATATGTCTCCGAAACCACGGTAGAGAACTTAAAACACAGGTTAGCCAACATGTGGGCAATTCTAGATCGGAAATGGAGTGTGTTTACCATGTCAACAGTTTTACCAATCTCACAACAATCATACCGAATGCATGTGCTTTTTTGCTTTTTTCAGGCTTTTAACCCTCCTGTTGTGTTGGGGACATCACATTTAATTTTCTTAATTGCTTGACAAATGGTTAAACTTGATTTATTCTTAAACTTTTGTGACTTTTTTACATTTAGGGTAATGGATGTGCATGCAAAGTTTCAACACATAGATGTGTTTTGGAGGCTGTACAAAATTGTTACAACCCTTGGTTTTCATCCAATTTGCCCAAAAACTTTGAAAAACACTAAAGAGGCAGGTAAAAAAAAAAAAAGAAAACCTTTATTGTAGCTTGTCAAAGACTAAAATATGAAATACATGGAAATTTATGAAGTTCAAGACTCGAAATTGCAGACTCGTCTTCTGGATCATTCACGGTTTCTTCATAAATTTGAGTTTCACAGTCAAAAAGTCTGTGAAATGGTATTTTTGGCTGTTAGTTTTTTTTACTAGACCATTGTTAATGAAAACATATCTGATATTAAAGCACACTTACTGGATGTTGAAAAGCCATTTGGAAGTTAGCAGTAGGAATCGTGTAATCCTTTAATTAAGTTGTATAATCCCCAGTGTCCACTGAGAAAACTCCCCTCGCAGAGACTCCAGTATGCAAACACAAAGCTGCACTCCTATTTCCACTAACGAGCTCCAAAGAAATGTCTCATCCCAAGCTATCCGCGAACTCCCAGTGGATGGGAATAGGTGGGGTGTTTTCTTTAGCCACACACACACAATCACAGTCTTCCTGTGTTCCTCCCCTCTTTTGTTTCTCCCCTTTAAATGCTCCAGTCACAGCTTACCCACGTCCATTTATTCACCTAACAGCTCCCTCACACACTCCATGTAGCTGACATTCATAATTTGTCTTGCACAATGCTTTATCTCTCTGGATTACTTTTGCTTTTGCTGGATCTGTCTATGATCTGTGGTAGGAGATCTTTAGTTTAAGATCTAAGATAAAGCATGAGTGTATCTGTATGAACATCAGCAATGCCATTACTATTGTTTATGGATATTATCTAGGAGACATTAAATCACATTACAAGCTTTTCTATGAATCATCGACTTTACTATTGTTGAACTAAACTTCCAACTTGTTTACAATAGAATGGATTTATTATAAGAAGTTGTAGCATGTCTGGTAGCAACATGGGTGATCATTAAAAAGTTTGTTTCTATTTTCAGGTCAAATGACGCAAGATAACAGAACAGCATTTGAAGGTAAGGGACAAACTACTAAATTATCTCTTAAAAAGAAAAAAACCTCTTTAAAATCGTAGTTATTTCTTTTCGATTAAAATTGAGATTTGCCAAAATCATCTGCTTTTCACATATTCTTCTGAGAAAACTATAGCAATCTCGATGGAAGCCTGTTTTCACCACAAAATTAAAAAAAGGTAATTGTGACTTTTTAATCTTACATTTATGAGTTTATATCTCATAATTTGCAAAAAGTCTGAATTGCGAGGTAAAAGGTCAGAATTATGAGATAATAAAGAGATAGTTCACACCAAAATTAATGTTTGTAACCAAACAATTGCTGGCAGCCATTGACTTCAATGGTATTTTTTCCTTAGTATGTAAGTCAATGGCTATAGCAACTGTTTGGTTACCAACATTCTTCAAAATATCTTCTTTTGTGTTCACCAGAAGAAATTAATTCATATAGGGTTGGAACAACATGAGGGTAAATGATGACAGAATTTTCATTTGTGGGTGAACTATCCCTTTAACTCAGAATTGCGAGGGGAAAAGTCAGAATTGTGAGATAAAAAGTTGCAATTACCTTTTTTTTATCATGGAGTAAATGGCTTTCCACAAATCTCCACCGCAATCTCAAAATTGTTTCAAATAGTGCTCAGATTTGCCAAAATACCAAAGTCTGCAATCAAACGTGAGATATTTCAATATGAGCTCAAATATTTCTCATATGCGATGTCCATGTTCATTTTATAACTCTATACTTTTGCTGCATGTCAACATTGTCTTGTTTGTGTCTTTTTTTAGTTAAGAAAGTTTGGGATGATTCAAAGATTATACTTCAATGAAGTCTCATGAGTTATGAAAGAGAAACCTCTGAGCAATAACATTTTCTGGGTATTTATATGATTGTAATTTGAATGAAAGACAATTGACATCCATAATATATAAATTTTACTCTAGACACTAAAAATATTCTCAAACAATTTTAATGTTAATACACTTAAGTTTATATCAAAATTCTTTAATTCACAAAGGTGGGTGTTTATACAGTTAAAGAGGGACACTACTGTATTTTTAATGTAATATTTATTTATGTTTCTTCTATATATTTTTTAAAAATTATTTTCAAATTTTTAAAAAAATGCCTATGACAAATTTTCATAAAGTGTCCATTCACCCTATATTGAATTGCATTGATAATAGGAATGCTAAAACATCATTTACTCATTTCTTAATGGTGTTTTTTCTTCAGATGAGAGGATCAGAGTCAAAAATGAAAGTGTACAGCAAGAACTGGACAAATCTTTTAGCACAGGTACATAATGTCTGCATTATTTATGCCTGCATCATTTCATCGCACGCACTGCTGACATTCATAATGACATTTTCACTCTTTCAGAGAGACCCAACGTCACATATGAGGACAAAGGTGAGAGATTTCTGTGACTCTGTATGTTTGAGTATTAGACTTCACTAGATCACTTGTTGTCAGTATCAATTATTAAACAAATCTCTTGTGACTCAGAGAATTTTCAGACTTCTCAAGATTTTCAAATAAGCTACAGTCACTGTCATGAAGAGATGTTGAAGAATTATGGTGGACAGTGCTGGGAGATTTTCAATGATAGCATGAGTGAACTGGGCAAGGAGAACTGGTGTAATATGGAGATGGTGATAAGGTAAGCCAGAGCTTCTTCTTCACATGTGACTTTACTTAAAGGGATAGTTCACCCAAAAATGAAAATATGATGTTTATCTGCTTACCCCCAGGGCATCCAATATGTAGGTGACTTTGTTTCTTCAGCAGAACACAAACTAAGATTTTTAACTCAAACCGTTGCAGTCTTGTCAGTCTTATAATGGAAGTGAATGGGAATCACGGCTTTGAGAGTCAAAAAAACTTACACAAACAAAACCAAATTAAACCCTGCGGCTCGTGACGATACATAGATGTGTAAAGACACGAAACGATTGGTCTGTGCAAGAAACTGAACAGTATTTATATAGTTTTTTACCTCTGATTCACCGCAATGTCTGAACTGTCCTGAGCGCGTCCTCGACAGCCAGTGCGTGATGCGTCTTCTTCTTCTTCTTGCTTTACGGCGGATTGCAGAGTTATAACCGCCACCTATCTCTCAAATGGACCATTGACACTCTATCTACAATCTCAATTAGGAGTGTCAATGGTCCACTTGAGAGATAGGTGACGGTAATGCACTTATAACTCTGCAATCCGCCGTAAAGCAAGAAGAAGAAGAAGATAGGACGCGCTCAGGACAGTTCACACATTGCGGTGAATCAGAGGTAAAAAAAACGATATAAATACTGTTCAGTTTCTTGCACAGACGATTGTTTCGTGTCTTTACACATCAATGTATCGTCACGAGCCACAGGGTTTAATTTGGTTTTGTTTGCGTATGTTTTTTTTTTACTCTCAAAGCCGTGATTCCTATTCACTTCCATTATAAGACTGACAGACTGCAACGGTTTGAGTTAAAAATCTTCGTTTGTGTTCTACTGAAGAAACAAAGTCACCTACATCTTGGATGCCCTGGGGGTAAGCAGATAAACATAACATTTTTGGGTGAACTATCCCTTTAAAAGGAGAAACTTCTAGAGAAGTATCATGTTGTACTCGTCATGTTAATCAGATGTTGGGCCCAAACAATGCTCTGTTCATATGTCTTGTGGTTGAATTTTTAAGTATATACATAAATGTTTACATGAAAAAAATTAATATGCATTTTTGCATGTGCATCACACTCTAAAACTAAGATTTACTGTATCTTTTCATATGTACAAGTTCTACTGAGAAATGACAAATGTTGCTTACCTACATGGTATATGCACAAAGAAAGGAAATGGTCATAGAACAATTGAAGGATGTGTGGGAAAGAAGTGAGGTATTTCTTGAAGCCTGATCGCTGGCTACTTAAGGGACTCTGAGACTTCCTGGTCCATTAAACAATGAGAGACATTTCCGTTTTCTGCATAAGCATAGATAAGAAATTGTGTTGTTGTTGTTGTGAACCAGAGTGATTAGGTTTTTTTTGCTACTATTGTCTGTCACACAACTCACTTTAGGACAGTATCATTATGAAAGAGTAGCACTACCTATATTAAAACCAAAAATACATTAAATACAGCAATATTGTGAAATATTACTGCAATTTAAAACTCTTGTCTATTTGAATATATTTTAGAATTTAATTGATTGCTGTGATGCACAACTGAATTTTCAGCATCATTACTCCAGTCTTCAGTGTCACATGATCCTTCAGAAATCATTCCAATATGATGATTTGCTGCTCATTAAAACATTCCTTTTTGTGTAAAGTGTGATACATTTAACATCAGAATTTTATAATGAATAGAAAGTTTAAAAGAACAGCATTTGTTTGAAATTGACTTTTTTTGTAACAAAGCTTTTACTGTCACTTCTGATCAGTTTAACACATTCATTTCCAACTCCTTCATAGTGTACATTTGTGTAAACCTGTGTGACTACATTGATTACACGTTTCTTTCTGTCACACAGCTCACTTTATGTTTCTCTCTCCCTCTCCTATGTCCAGAAATTACCACAAGTTAACTGAGTGTATTGAGTTTATATGCAGTGCGCTAGGGTGCTTCTACCCTAATCGTGTGGTGGAGCAGCTGTTCGTGAGGATACACCAGCAGTACTTCAGTTCTTGTAACAATGAAGAGGATTTACCCGACGCCCCGGCTGGAGTCGTGCTCGTATCCACACTGCTGCCTATCCTCCTCATACCCTTCATAGTGTTCATCGTGGTCTGGAAGAGTAGTTTAAGGGACTGAGTGCTTTTGCATTGTCCCGGATGAGTTAAAGTGATAGTTCACTTCAAAAATTAAAATCCTGTCATCATTTACTCACATTTGTCTCTGACACCTGTATGACTTTCATTCTTCTAAAGAAGATATTTTGAAGTTGTTGTTTGGATGTTCTTCAAAATAGGTTTTTTGTGTTTTGCAGAACAGAGGATTGAAATTAGATGAGGGTGAGTAAATGATGACCCAGTTTTTACTTTTTGAGTGAGCGGTTGCTTTGAAGTAAACTTTGAATGTATAAAGTTCATGTGGTTCACAATGATGTAATTACTGTAAATAAAACACACGCAGTGGGTGTGTGATTTTTCAACATGCTCATGATCAAGTGTAAAACAGTCTGATAAAATGTATGATTTGTGATCATGATATGAATATACTGTGACTTACTGAAAATACTGAATGTCACACATATCCTGCTAGACTTTATTCCGTTGTTGTATGTCAGTTTTGCAGCTATTTATTGAAGTTTGAAAATGCTCAGCAACTTGTTCACACAAATGTAAATCTAAAACACATTAAACTAAATATTGAAGGCTTAATTTTAATACATTATATGGATATTCATAATGGCATGCATAAGGCATGCCTTATAAAAAACATAATCTGTTGCATCATCTCATGAATCATAACTGCGGTTATAATACATTACAATACCTAACAATTTGTGGTTATGCCTTTTAAGAGCGCAATGTTTTATAACACATGATGAACGCATTATATCCAAGTTACAATGCATTATGGTTCCCATAGTTATAATGAAAGTCTTTAAGGAAATGTATGTTTTATTAGTGCATATTTAATAAGATAATGCCTCCTTTGCATATTTAAACATAACATTTCAGAAAACTTGTAATACACTTTTTTTTGCAATTCTTAATGTAATCAAATGGCTTAGTACGATCTATTAATTAATTTTTTAACCTATTCATCTGGGGTGCCTTGCCTTAAGAATACACCTGTAGTACATTATAAGTACAGGCTTCATAGAGAGTGATAATAAATATGATTTATTATTTATCAGTGCATCACTCACGTTTAGATTTCTGTCTCCTGCACAGTCTAAAACACAAATAACGTATTATAAGAACCACAGCTCCTCCTACTGCCAACACCACTGCTAGCAAAAATGCCATCACGTCTAAAGAGTGATAGGAGTACCACGGCATCTTATAAGAGTCTGTACGTAAATGAGCAGCACCCTTATGCCGCATGACGTACTCTATCCAAAAGAGGGCCCCCTCTTGTGGTTGTATAGGCTGGTCTTTCTGTAGCCTAGACAGCCGTTGCATGTTGTCCCTGTACGATGGCTGATGTAAAACCTCCCGGACTGCCGCCGAAAAGCTCTGTCTGTCCAGTTTGGTGATGTCAAGAACCTTAGCGGCCCCTCGTACCTCAAGTCGCAACATATTGTCTAATTGGTCAAAAAGCAAGGGAATCCCAACCACTGGAACCCCATGGTAGATAGACTCAAAAATGCCATTCGTTCCACCGTGAGCGACAAATGCACGTGTTTTAGGGTGACCGAGCAGGTCGTTCTGCGGAAGCCACTTAACCAGAAGAGTGTTGTTGCCCAGATTATGAGGACGCTCTCCTAAGTGCCTCCAGATGACTCGCTGAGGCAGCTGAGCAAAACCAGCAGCGATTTCAGTCATGATTTCACTTGGAAGACCTTTCACGAGCGTCCCAAGTGACATCACAACCACCCCATGTTCTCCTGAACCTTGCACAAACTCCTCCAGGTCTGGCGGTAAGGGCTTGGAGGGTTTGCATTGGAAGCCTCCGATGTAGACGATGTTGGGCATGGTTGGACGCGGGAACTCGAAGACAAAATCCGACCTCATGAGCCAAATATCTGCGCCTTGCAGCAAGTGGTAGAAATCAGTTTCAGGTCCAAAATAGCGTGCAACTAGTTTGTCATATTCTGGTCTCACAATGAAATGGTCTATGCACATGTTTAGCACATAATGTAAGATGTTCTTGAGCCTGTCTCCAAATGACATGCGGTTCGATAAGTGGCTAAACACTGCTGGGACGTAAGAAACCGGAGAAGGTGCGACAACAAAGTGCCCTTCTCCACTAGTGATCCATCTCACGTTGTAAACCATTGGTAATTTGAGTTTATGAGCCACCAGCACTCCTGCAGGCAGACCTGGATCGATAAGAACTAAGTCGTAACGTTCCTCATAGAGCTGTTTCATCAACACAGGGTTTTCGAAAATCTCCACAACCAGCTTACTTGCTTGCCAATGCATGCCATAGTGAATCTTCAACATCTGCCAATAGAACTGCACGAATGCAATCGGCGATCCTCCATGTTTTTGTATCTCAAGCATTTTTCTCAGGAACGAGATGAAGAAATCTTGTTTCTCTATGTTTATTGGCTCTGGTAGGGTCACTGTTATGGCTTTGTAGTGCGGTGAATGCTCCTTGACGTACCAGCTGCTGGCGGTTCTTACCACGGTGACCTCGTGACCGCTGGAGTGAAGGACCTCGATCAGTATATTCATGTTGACCCAGTGGCTTCCGTCCACAGAGCAGAGGGAAGGTTGGTGAAGAGGAGTACGGTTAGCAGCAGAAGACAGTGTGAAGATTTTAGGACATTCATTGCTCCCTAGTGCACAGAAAAACACTAATGTTTGACAGACATAATGCATAACATGATGAAATCATAATTCCTTGAACAAAAAAGTTTGCTCTGTGTTTATTTGATTGAAAACACTCCTCTAATCCCGGTAAACACTTCATGCTTGAGTGCATGCATGGACACACACAGGACAAGCCTGAATAGACAGTGTTATTAAAAACAGATGTGTCCTGTTAACCATTAAGTTTTTTGGAGAAAGATTGCATGTTGTATTTGCACGTTCTTTTCTGTGCAACATGCACATTATAAAAGACCCAATGGGAAAGTGAGACTAGAAATTCTGATGGTATTTTCTGCATTTTAACACAAGTATGATTTAACAAAAAGTAGTAAAGTAAAGGTTCATTACTATAGAAACATAACTGATTTAACTGGATGTGGTTTTCTTGCAAAGAAAAGAGGAAAATAAATCACTTTTACCTTCTTCTGTTGCCTGTCTTCCTCTCTCTGATGAAACAAGGGTTTGTTCTGTCTGGTTCCAAGTCCAGATCATGCTTTAGTATTGCATAACGAGTGGAGGCAATCCCAGAAAAGTGGGTGTTGTTAATGAGTTTGCGTGAGAAGCGTGCACTAGTGCTGTTTCATAAAAACCTTCAACAATGTTTTCTCAAGGACTTAAAACATGCCTCTTGTCTCTTTATTTTTACTGGCACAGTTCAAGGATGATGGCAACATGGTTCTATGTTTAATATCTTCAGCAAATTAAATCAAATGCCAGGTCATTAAACTCTTTAGATAAGAATAAAGTGTTAGACTGTAAAGCATGCAAGACAACATCATGAGAATGGAGTGAGAAGAAAATATGGTGGAAAATATTTTAACTAGTCAAGAAACTCCTTGTAAAATGCATAATTTTACCCAAACATTTTATTAGCTAAATAATATTAGGTCTTTTCACTCTATACTGTTTTGCATATTAAAAAAAAAAAGTAAAGTTATTATTTATTTTGTTTTCTTTGGTTAAGGATTATAGTATATGGTCTAACAAGTGTGCCGAAAAGCAAAACAAAATTATAAATCATTCAAAGAGAAAAAAGTAATTAATAATATAAATAATTTAAATTGTGTTTGTACTTTGATTTCTTATTTGATTGTTATTATCAATGTTAGAACATGTGAGGAAAAATACTTCCAAGGTCAAAGTTCAGAGTAAGAGACTGTTATGATGAGCACGTGGTTTTCCCATTTTACATTGAAAAAGTTATTAAGTTACCCATTGTTGAAGAAAAATCATGCTGTCCTTCATCGTAACAACGACAAGTTAATAAATGATAATCTACTAAACTTTATTTATTTATTTATTTAAAAATGTAAATGTGACATTTATCATAACGGTGTTTAATATAACGTGAAATTATTGATCATTGATCAGCTACTGAAATAATTATTTTCCATTCCTGGCGCGTGCCATCAGAAATGACTTTTAAAGTCACCATGAAATCAAAATGGAAAATTCTTATTTTTTAATGGAATACTGTTTATTATAAATAATTTATCCGTGCACTTCATTATTTTTTTATTTTTTTATGTGCCCTCTTTAATCAAAAACGTTAACCTCCACTTCCCCTCAAAACGACTCATCTTCTCTTCCGGTCACGAGCCATGGCGCGTGGGCGGAGCTAGTGATGTAAGGGCTAAACGCTGGGAAAAGCTGAAGCTGATGCTTCACTTTATAGCACTGACACCAGTCGTGAGGGAGTACGTTACCCCTAAACATCGAAAAGATATTAGGATATTACGACAACATTACTAATTTTTTTCATGAATATGATGGAGGACCTGCTCAGTCGTTCAGGCAGTCTCTCTCTCTCTCTCATGTTTTGTGCCGTTGATCGTCGTCGTCATCCTCAAAAAAACATTTATTCATGCTTGGGTGTCTGCCATGAATCCAGTGTAGAGAAATCCCCCACCACTAACTGCAAACTGGCATTCAGATCTGCCTCCATTTTGTTTGCAACGCACCAACTTCCAATGAACCAATCAATTCCCGAAGGACAAAATCAAGTCCCGCCCTCTCATTTCAGATGCCGTTTCACTCGGATATACATCACAGCAGAGAAGAAAAGACAATGGCAACTTCCTGTTTCAAACCAAACGCATTGAGCATTCACACATCCTGAGGGCGGTAAACTTTAGGCTACTCATCACGAAAGTCATTTGAGAACATTCACAACTGCAGAGCAACTTTGATGTAGAAATGCAAACTTCGACCTGCATATTGCGAAATAAGGTGAATGTTTTGGTGAATTTTTCATTTGTACGTTTACGAGGCATCACACGACCTGTTTGTAAATGTGGGTATTTGCGTTCTATTGTATTTTCTTGCTTCTATATGTATTACCAGTTAGTGCTGGCAAGTCTAAAACGACAGATGTTGTGTTATTTGAATTTGATCAATGTCTTATTTATCTCAAGTTACTCAACTACCTTTAGTAATAACAGCATAATGCCACAAGATGGCGACATTTACAAGTGAGCATTGTGGCTGAGCTGGAAGACAAATCAACAATTAACACACGTTTAAATTTTCATGTTCATGTCATTGATAGGTCTACCATAGAGGAGTCTAACACAGCTCAACACACTTGTCTGATAAGATTCATTTATGATTTGGGCCATTTCATAATGAATGAAAGGTTAATTTCTAGGTCAGAAGAGGTTGGTGCTGTCGCAAAGATGTAAGATCTGAATGTTACACTTTATATTTATGGAACCCACTTTATATTTAAGTGAATTAAAAGTTCAAATCCACTATGAAAGACTGAAAATGGTCCAGATTAATCATAAATCATATTAAAAATAGTCGTCAGACAA